TGGGTGTACCTCAGGTGATCCAGTGAGGACGTAGTCATTGAGTCCAGATAGTATCATGATTCTCTTTTAAACCCCACTTGCCCACCATACTTGGTAGGACCTGAGGATGAGCCCTCGTGATTACCACTCACCCTAGAAAACAAATAATTTAAATGATTACCACTCACCCTACTTTTTCAGAAAGGAACTGCTTGCTCCACACTTAATTATCAAAATAGTTTCTGACCTCAAACAAACTTTGGGCTGATATCTGTTGCAAGGAAGACCTTTAATTCGACACCCAAGTCAAGTAATTTCTTATCGAGCCACATAGCAAGCCAGTCAAAAACACTCAGGCAGACAGAAGTATCACTGTATTGGAAAATAATAGGTACTTAGCGTTTGAAAAACAGAGCACTCACATATAGGTAAACAGGAGCAGGAGATTTGTTATATACATATCAAGCCTTATGGTTGCCATGAGGCATTGAGTGCTGTGGGTTTCTTCTTTGTAGATGGTTTTTATATACCCTCAGCCAAGTATTAAGAAAACACATTCATTTAGAAAATCATCGTAAATGAATTCTAATCTTAAGAACCTATAACCATCGCCGAAACTAACAATAATCGAAGTGTATTAACACTCAGCCACTCAAATCAACCATATAATCAAGTCATTATCATTTCCAATTAAACAATACGACCAATACATTAGAGGGTTGCTCTTACCGCTTAGACTTGGTCTAACAATGGTGAACAGGTGCGGCAGGAGGTTCGACGTCTTCCACTTGATGGGTCGATTCCTCGAGATCTTTTTGGTTTGGAAAAGCTCTAGTCTTTTTCAGTGAGGTGTATGCAAACAAAGAACCTAATGCTCCACTGAGACATAAGAGTCCCCTAATTCTTTTTTATATTCTCTTGCTCTATAAACCGGACTGAAACAGAACTTCTAAATCACGTCCCATCGTTGAACCAATAGCTTCTCCATACACCACCTGAAGTCAGTAACCACGTAACGTGAGCCTTGCCGTGAGTTTTGGAGCCAATCGCAGAGGAAGGAGCCGTAACAGCGGCCTTGCCATGAGCTTTGGTTCCAATCGCGGAGGATTTTTGGGTGGTTTTTTTGGTTCCATCGAATCGTTTTTGAGAGAGAGTAGAGCTTCTTAAAAAACGAAAGAGAAGCAAAGAGGGGGGGGGAAGGTGAAAGGAGAACCACATCTCATCTGGAAAACTGATGGATTGATGAGTTAAAGCGAGGAATTGATTATCAAAAGAGCTGGGTTTGATTGAGTGGAGAACGGTTGAGAAATCTCCATATCTGTGCAGAGGAAGTCGAAGAGTGAGAGAAGCTATGACTCTCTAGGTTACTCCACGTATATACAAATGTAAACCAAGAGAATCTCAGACCGAGACAAAACCGGACGCAGAAATACACAAAACCAGACACGAAATTGGGTCTCGATTTCGCGTTAAAAACCAATTGGTCTTTTGATTTATCAGACACAAACCGAGTGGACGTGGCAAATTAGAACCTTCTGATTGGGTGATTATTTCTGCCCACGTGGACAGGCTCATTTGGCTTGATTTGCTACTTTTATTCATAGTAGATAATCAAATACTATGTTATATGTTTCTTACAGGTTTGCTAATTGCGAAATTCGAACTGTTGTGATTGTAGACAAAAGGTTAGTATGATCTTTAATTACTTAATTTAAATAATAATACTTACACATTTCTTGACCTTTGGCTAGTGTTGTTATATCTTTTCTTTTCAGCCTTAGGGGTTGATTGGTAGATCATTAGCATAAGCATTATGCTCTCTATTATCCAATCAACATTTGGTAAAGAAGCATTTAGAAAAGCCAAATGCAAATGTTCTCCAAATATTTTTTGCTCAATGCTCTCATATAGAGCTTTTGGGAGAGCATTTGCATATAGAAAATATAAAACTTAATAATATTTATACATAAATAATTTATTTTTGTTTAAAAATATAAACAATATTTTTATAATTAAATATAAATTTATATTTTAAAAAATAAAAATAAAAATTATAATTACTTTTTTTAAAAGAACAATATTTCACATTTAAAATATAATATAATTTACATAATTACATATCATTATTTTAAATAACAAACATAACATAATGTTATTTATAAATTATCGATATAAACATATTATTTAGACACTAATAAATAAATTATATATTAAATTTTTTGATAATTTTATATATGAGTAATTTAGTGCTCTACCAATAAATAATAATAATTTATATATAAATTATATAAAAATATAGTTAATTTATTAATTTATTTAATAATAATTATAATTTAATAATAATTAATTAAATTATAACTATAATTTTATATATGAGTAATATGTTATATCCAACAATAATTTAATATTTTTTAAAAAAAATAAATTTTTAAATATAATTTATATAATGAAAATTCATTATTTTAATAAAATTATATATTATTAATATATATTATATATATTATTTTAAAAGAAATATATTATTTTACTAACTATTATGATAATTTTATAATCGTATACTACTAATACTCTGCCAATCACTTTATTAAAAACTTTAATGAAAGCATACAGCTTCTATAGCATACTGCTTCTGCAGCATATTGCTATTGCTTTATCATCTGTTGTACCAGTCGTGGCGTTAGTTCTTCTACGGAGAATTGATTCCACGGGGAAATTTCAAAGAGTTTACGGAGCCTTTATTAAAGCCAACCTTGAAGAAGTTAATTAATACTCCCTCCGTTTCAAAATATATGTCATTCTAGGCTTATTTTTTTGTCACAAATTAAGTGTCGTTTTAAAGTTTCGAGGTAAAATTTATTAGTTTTATATAATATTTTATTTTTCTATTGGTTGAAAAGTGGTTAGGTGTATAGGTAATTGTGTTTTTATCTTGGAAATATATAAAATTAAATATTTCCTTAATCTATGTGCAAAAACCTAGAATGACAAATAAAATGAAACGGATGGAGTAGTTATTTTGTTGTTTTATTCTTGAAGCTCAGTTTTGTTAAGTTGAGTTTCTTCTTTTTACCTGAGCCCGTAGCTTAATTATCATCTTTTCGTCTGCTTTTTAAGAAATTGTATTGAATAAATGAAGTTAATCTCACATGATATGAGAATAGAATACACAGATTTGTCTTTATTTTTTTATTTTTACAAAGACATATATATATATATATATATATGGTGTAACTGGAAATTATATATATTTTATAGGAATATACTAATTTTTATCAAATTTTTTGATAAAAAGGAATATACTAAACAAAATAATTGAAAATAAAGAGAACAAAGAGTAAGGAAAATACCAGGAGTTTGAAAATAAATTAAATTAACAGAATATAATATTAACTGAACTAAAAATAAAACAAACATCCAATTTTTTTTTTAAGAAATGCTTCAGGAATGTTCTTTCACTACAACTGATATTTTTTTTCATAGAATCAAATAGAATGAACCTCAGTGACAAAAAATGAATAAAATGGAATGACCCATTCCACACACTGATTTCATTTTTCTTTTGATTAATTTATTTCATGTTTTGGTCATCCAGTTGGCAACCATAATCTTTGCGTTTTTTAAAGAGTTTCTAGCGTGTGTGAGATGTTGTCAACGAAGTGTGGAATACGGCCGGTGTAATTTCCCGAGTAGTTTGTAACTTTGTAAGAAAAAAGTCATTTTATTTATTGCAAGTCATTGTGAGAGAAGAAAACTGAAATTTATTCTCAGATCGAGCAATATGTTTAATTGAATTTATGATATACTTCTATATACTCTGTTTGTTAAATTATATAATTTATTTGAGAATCTTTTTGTTTTTATAAAATGTTTTACAACCTTAAATTTATTTGATTTTATGACTCTTTAATTTATGTGATACTGTATTTTTTTAGTTGGTTAAATTATTTTTATGCAATACTAAGTAAAAAACTTAATGTGAAAAATACAAGAATTTGTATTTTATATATTTTTTTATCAGATTTAATTTATTATTCATAAATTTTATATGATAGAACCTAGGTTGCATGGAAACTTCATTCAAGGTCCGTTTCCTGTTTCGGAAACGTTTCGGAATCGGAATCTCTTGGAAACACGAGGAAACTATTTGGAAACACGTTTCTTGAAAATTTCATTTTGGAAACACGATGGAAACTTGTGTTTCTGATTTGGAAACTCGCGTTTCTAATTTGGAAACTCGCAATTCTAATTAGAAACACAAAAATAACTATTTGACATTTGATGTTAATGATTACATGTTTATTATTTTATATTTTAAAATTATCTTTTGATATTTGTTATCTTTTTAGTATAATGATTTGATTTGGAATGAAATCGCTCCATACTTTTATCGCTCCATACTTTTATCGAATGATAACATGTGTTACTTTTCTAGTTATTGATTATAATTTTAATAAAATGTACAAAAAGATACTTATATTACTTAATATTTTCTCTTAGATAAATCAAACAAAAAAAAGCTTACATGTTGATTAATCATATATATATATATATATATATATATATATATTATAGACGTTTCTAAAACGTTTCTATTTCTATTTTTTTTTGAAAATCATGTTTCCACGTTTCGAAATGTTTCGTTTCCACGTATCCGTTTCCGATTCCATGCAACCTAGGATAGAACAGACGATATAATGTATGCAAAAGTTATAAATTTGATAGGAACCTTCCACCTAGTCAACTCGGCAAGAAAGTGCGTTGACTTGAGTCAAGGCACTTGACCTAATTAGCGTCAATACTTAAAGGAGGCACTTTTTTTTTTAATAAAGAGACTCACTTTTTACAAAAATAAAATAAAGTAAAAGAGGCTCATTTACAACTTCCATACGTTTCGAAGAAATTTCTGGGCTGATTCCAGGAAAGTGAGGTGAGTAAAAGGAATTGGATCTGTACGTGGTGTGTATATGGTTGTTTTTTTACCATAAGAATAGTATATATATGTGGTATAATATGAATGTCCTAGACGAAGAAGAAAAGTCGACAAAAAAGAAAGAAGAAGAAGAAAAAGAAAGAAAAACCATTTTGATTTTGTAAACATTGGGTAAGAGGTCGCCTAGAGAGGTTGTGTACGTACGTAAGTACATACATGGATTTGTGTGGAGTTAAGACGCTGCGCCTCTCGTCGCCTAGATTCAAAACCCTTCATTTGGTTAGTATGACTATTTTTTTAATTTCACTTCAGTCTCCATCTTAGAGTTTGCTTTCTTCAGAAAGACCATTTTAGAAAACATGACTAAATTTTGACTTAGTTTTTTCTTCTATGTTTGAGGGGGACCTTTTGTTTCGATCGTTTCAAACACAAATTTTCTTTTGCGTTTTCACTCACCTGAGAGAACAAATTTTAAGAAACTCATGTTTCAAAAACATAAAACAATTAGTTTGCTTACATAAACTACTTTAACAAAATGCAAACACAAAAGAAAAATATACTCTTTAACACTGACGTTTACAAATAACAAAATTGCTTGCAAAGTATGTCGATGCATGTGCAAAGAGTACACATTTACTATAAGGGTATACGCAAACGTAAGCACAAATTACAGTCAAAACCTACAAGATATATATCACCAATTAATGGTAACAAAATTCACCTTCCATAAGCTGGCCTATGCCATATATAAACTTCATATATAAGTATGTAACTGATCAATAATTTATCCACGGGCATATACAATATGATTCACATAGTCGTATATATGACTTGATTTTGATATATATATATATATAGTACGTAAAAGTAAAGGGTAAACGGGATATATTCTAATATTGCATGTTGAACCGGAAATGGATGAAAGGTGAGGCATGCACAAGGAGTCCACAATGTAGCAATAGAGAAGGGAGAACTAACTCCTTTAGCAGGCGAGTTGTTCGACGCTCGTCTCTCTGTGAAGGGTATCCAACAGGTGAGAATGATATATATATATATATATATATAACTACTCCTGCTCGGGTTTGATATCTTGAGATACCCTCATGTATATATATGAAATACAATTTTGCAGGTTTCTGAAAGGCGGGAGAAAATCATAAAATCAGGATTACTGAACACAATCGATTTAGTGATTACCTCTCCGCTGCGAAGGTACTGCTACACCTACCTACCATTTCTTCCTATGTCAGATAAGTTTAGGAAGAAGCTTCCAAAACTTAGATTTAGGTTAAAGAAATGGTTATATGTAAACATCAATATCAGTGAAAATATATGGCGTGGACAAGGTATATACCAGTTAGACAATGACACATGTACTAATCGTGTATTTTATGGAATTCTTATAAGTTACAATTTTAGATTTTTTTTCATATTCTTCATACTTTTCTAATATTTTTATGTTAAGATATATATTGAAAACTTATTTTATTTATGTTAAGATGTATATTGAAAGGCTTTCAACTCGATGCTCTAATTGTCCATTCAATTTCAGGGCGATGGAAACTTCGGTAGGAATATTTAGGGGACAAGAAGATAAGAATCAATCCGACAACTTTCCAAAAGCTAACAACTCCCCTCCAATTGTAGCACTTGAGATTTGTAGAGAACGCATGGTACGTACTAGTAATTCTTTTAACCAGGAAATCTCGATAAATATTAATTACTTTTCTTTTAAAATTTAATACGATGTAATGAATAATGCTACATATAGGGCCGGCTTTGAGCAAAGTCGGATGAAACATTAGCCTTGGCCTCAATTTTTTTTGAAAAATTTACATGTATACCAGCCTCCAAAAAATAAATTTTAGGCCCAAATCCGTAGAAAAAAAAATTTAGGTGAAATCGTTTAAAAATCGCCTTAAGCCCCAAATCGGCCCTGGCTACATACTTCATTCTCTGAACTGTACTTAGATTTTCACAATCAATCTTCCTTAACATATCTTTCTCGTTAATAGAATCTAAGCTTTCTTATTAAAAGAACTATCAATATATTTATAATGAATGTTTGAATTCTTTTGTGAAAAACTACTATCAACTATGCGCTTTGATCCATATTGTTCGATATCTGCAGGGATTATATCCGTGTGATAGAAGAGAAAGTATAGATACCCATCGCACTTGTTTCTCAGAGATCGACTTTACAATGGTAGTTAATCTCACAGATATTCTAGAAGTTCAAAATGATCTTATTTTCATTTTCCAATTCTGCGAAATTAAGTTTTCATTTGGTTAATAGATAGAGAGTGATGAAGATGCTCTATGGCAAGAAGAGGAGAGGGAAGACATGGAAGATGTTTCTGCTAGAGGCCTTCACTTTCTCAAATGGTGACCACCATAACTTTCTTTTCTTTAATTTGTGCTTTCTCATTTTTCCTTTCTGTTAAGCACAAGACTAGTTGACATGAAACGAAACACAAAAGTAACATTAAACTAAACAAAAAACTGTCATTAGTTTTAATTAATATCCATTTTCATATATAAAAAATAATAATCCCACAGAGTCGTTCTGCTTAGAATTAACAAGTCAACGTACGATTCAAACATTAGGTACAATTCCGTGGAGTTAGTTTTTACATTTTTATAAACGTACATAATAATTGCAAAGTACACACTGTAAGATCTGGTAATATCTGTATTTCCCAACATTATTGTAACAGTCTCTAATAATTAAAAAAAAAATGTAGGTTATGGGAGAGGCCGGAGAAAGATATTGCAGTTGTTAGCCATGGGATATTTTTGCAACAAACACTTCGTGCGCTGCATGAAAAAGTTGGCACACCTCTTGAAGATCATCTCCTTCAAAGGTAATTTTACTACTCCCACTCTCTTGTTTATTTATGTGCTCTAACGTGCACGGACCTATAAGATATATTTTCTGAATTGATCTCATTGATCTATTTCTTTTGTTTAGGTTTGCCAACTGTGAACTGCGGTCAATTAGGATCGAGAAGAGGTAGCTAAAGTTAGACTTTAAGAAATGAGATTAAAAGTATAATGCTATTTCTAAATAGTGTTTACTAATTTTAAGTGCAGTGACATGGAAGCATACACATTAACGACTTACAATTGTAAAGAATACATTACTCCACCACCTTCAACCTCCATTCACCCGTTTGAATAGAAGGCATGCATGTGAACTGTGTGTGTGTTTATGTTATCATGCCATATATGCACATAGCGCTTAAATATTGGAACCAGTGAATTCGTTACATAGCTCATAAAAAAGCCACCACTAACCAAGCCTATCCGCGGACAAGAATGCGTGTGACACTCTTTTTTTTTTGAACAACAGCGTGTGAAACTCTTTCTTTTGTTATTTCTGTTTTTTTTTTATTAATAAAGTTTTACTTCCTGTGATTGTGAATCTCTCTTTATTCATGCTTAAGTGTTGTTTTTCGTATTTTAACAAACAAAGTCTGTTTAAGTTTGTGGTTATTGTTGATTTTATTATAAAAAAATAAATGCTAAATATATGCAATATAAAAGATAAAGTAAATAAATACCAAGTACTTCTCCAGTTTGTGGTTATATTTATTTATTTTTAAAATAAAAAAATCAACAATAAAAAAAAAAAATAAAAATAAACATTAAAACATAAATTTTACTCTATAATGAAAATTAAAATAAAATGGAAGAAATATATATTTATTTGTGTAAATGTGTGGATCCCAACCTAGCTAGTTTTATTATTAAAATAAATTAGATTATGATTTGTTCTTCAAAATATGAGTATATTTTTTGCTTTATTTTATTTTTTTAAATTTATATTTTTCATAATTTTATTTGTATTTTTTAGTAATTATATTTGTGTATATATATATATATATATATATATAAAGTAAAGTTTAGTTTTAGTCGGCACTAAAAACTGTAATCATTGTTAGACAGTTTTCAGATATAAAGAAAAGTGGGTAATTCGGATTATTCTAAAATTGTTAGTAGTGGTTACAAAAAATATTCAGTGGCATTTTACTTAAGAGATATTTATTGTTATATCCTTTTCGAATCCAATATTAGGTGATTATCCATGATGAGACTGATCTATTTTTATGACCATTTTGCCCTTTCTTTTACATGCATGTGATTCTCTTTCCTGACACACTCTCTCTTTGTACTGACACATTCTCTGTACTGACACACTCTCTCTGTATTGACACACTCTCTCTCCTCACAACCTCTCTTTCTCTTTCTTCGGTTCCTCTTCTTTCTCATTCTTAAACTCTTTTATCATATTAATATCTTCTTTTTTTGGGTAAAAATTTCTTGTTGCGAAAAATTTATTACTATTTTACTACTATTCTTATGAATCTAAATTATTTTAATTTCACCGCATATTGAAAAAATCAGCATTGAATTTTTTTTTTAAGTCACCGAGATGTTAACACTTATGTTAGTTGTTAACAAATAATGTAGATGTCAACAAAAGTGTTAACTGTTAACAAATACATGTATCAGATGTATTAATAGAGACATTAACTGTTAACAAATTTTGTAAATTTTAACAGATGTGTTAACAGAAGCAGTAACTGTTAACAATTTTTGTAGCTATTAACATTTGTGTTAGCTGTTAAAAAAACATGTACTATAGGTGTAAACAGATGTGTTAACTGTTAATAAATTCATAGATGTCAATACATTGTTATGTATTATAAGTAAAAAAAAATTATATTGTTAAAGTTTCAATTTCTCTATCGAACTGAGTAAATTTAAAAAGAAAAGAAGTGGAAATAAAAAAAGAGGGTTATCGTTGAGAAAAAATGAAGAAAAAAAAACATTTGAGAGAGTAAAATGAATGTTAACGAATGAAAGAAAAAAAGTGAGAGAGAGTGTTAGAAAAAAGAAAAAAAAATCAGTGAAAAGGAAAAAAGAAATTTAATACTTTACAAGATTATTTTGGACAAACCAAATTTTAATTGTATACTTTTGACTTATAATGTCAAATTATGAGTAAGTCTCTAATATTGACTTTAAATAAAGATATTTCACTAAATTTCTCTTTACTTAATATAACAAGTAAGATAGGGCAAAAATAATAGGGATGATCCTGGATTTAATAATATTGTTACTACCAAGTATCTAACGCACGTGTCCTTTATGTGAACAGAGTAGCGTGGCACGTAGGCGTTACACTGTTTGAGGTTATTAAATTGGATTGACGCTAAATAAGTAGTAGTTCGTTGAATAATCTATCTATACTATTATTTAGGAAGTTAATTTTCGCGACGGAGCTCTCACGTTAAAAGTTGAAGTGGTTAATATCGTTAATATTCTTAATGAAACTTTTATATATAACTAATTTTATAATTAAAAACGAAATTTAAAAAATAAAATTAGATTAGTATGTTATTATCTTAGAAAACTTAGAATAACTAATATAATAAGTTTATAAAAAAATCAAAATAAGATAATTCTTATATATGTTATTATCATCTGAATATAATATTGTAACAACATGATAATGCTTATATATCTTAATTTTATATATAATTGATTTTGGCTTTTAAAAATAATATTATTCTATTATAAAATTTAAAAATTAAAATTTAAAAATTAAAACTGAAAAATTAAAATTGAAAAATTAAATTAAGATATGAAAATTTAAAATTCAATTTTAATTAAATATTAATCAAACAAAAACATTTGTATAAAAATAATTTTAATTATATAATTAAATATTAGATATTAAAAATTGGAACGGTTCAATTTAATGATACCTTTAAGGAAATTTATATATTTATATATAAATTAGTTAAAAGCGAATTTTATGTTAGTGATAGAAATATATATGTTATTATTTTAGTTAATTTATTACAAATTAATAGGATAATTATCCACAATCATGCATATTTAAAACATAAAATATCTTAGAGAATACTATACAGTTATCTGGAAATAATATTTTTATTATGAAAAATAAAAGTTTAGTTATAAAACAATTTAAAGTTAAATATTAAGAAAAAATATAAATATATTTTCAAAATATTTTATTATGTCGATGTTTTTCAACACTATAATAAGCATATGGATTTTGATGAAAATTCATATAAAATATTTTAATGTTTGATTTAGGTTTTTTAAAACTATAAAAAATAACTTATAATATTATTTTAAAATTAATAAAATAATAAATAATAAATATTCGTAAGAAAATTATGTTCGCATATGCGGGCACAACACCTAGTTAATCTAAAAGTTTGGTTCAACCATACTCTATAATTATTATTAATTAATTAATTAATATCCAGCTGACAAAAAAAAATTAATTAATATCTAAATTAAAACTCCTCTTCATACTCTCTTTATATCTAAAAACATAAAATCGGAGGTTAAAAAGATCGGTGCTTGAATCATCATCATCGGGTGATTCTGAAATTTCGCTAATCCTCTGATCGTCTCTTATTTCGTTTTCCGTCTGTGAAAGTAAGCTAGACGAATGGCCTCTGAGACTGGAGAAATCACCATCGTTTGCAACCACTGGTATCTAATTTTATTGATTTCTTCTTCTAATTTCATCGGATATGCGATTTCATTTTTGCTGAATTCGTTTCGAACCAAAAAAGGAAAATTCTTTGTGGAACTGATTGCAAAGTTATATAACATTTTGTGTGGGAATTGGATTTGAAGACACTTATGAGTTATGAGCTGCTTGGTCTTGTTTGGTTCCTGCAATCAGTTTGGTCTGTGTCGGTTGTTATATAACTAAGGGATTCAATGGATCTGTTGTGTAATTACGATGCCATGCAAACCATTTTGCTTTAAAGAGTTGATTTTTAGTTTGGTCATCTCCTTAAAAGGCTGCTTTTTGTCACTATCATTCATGATATTAATGTACATTTGATCTTTTGGTGAGATTTTTTAAGACTATGGATGACTTATGAATCTTGGATTTGGAGTTCAGTTGTTCAATTAACTCTGATCTAGTTGGTGTTTTACAAATTTATCATTCAGACACACTTTGCTATTGCTTTTGTTTTACCTTTAATTGTTTTGTGGTATACCTTCCAAGTCATTTTTAACGTCAAGGCTTGCCTCCATAATTCTTGGGCGTTGTTCTTATGCATCAGCATATCCTGGTTTGATTATATTCTGTCTATCGTGATACCTTTTCGACTGTTTTTACTTGCTTTAACCTAACTTTGGTAGTTTGCATAGTTTCTAGAGGGCTATGTGTGCATTGTCTTGTCATTGTAGCGTTTTGTCTGCTGACACTGGATTTTTTGAGTGCTTTGATTGAGATCACTTTGCTTTTGTATGTCCAATGATTAAGAGTACCTCTTATTAAGATTAGCCTTCTGACAATCCCAATGATGTCAGTGACAGAGACATTCCAGCACCAAATATCGATCTGCATCGTGTACATTGCGCCCGGAATCTAGAAAAATGCATGATTTGTGGTGATATGGTTCCCAAAAAGCATGCTGAGGAACACTTTTTGAACACGCATGCTCCGGTACGCTGGTTTTGCTATTTCTACAAGTCTTTGAATTGCATTATCTTTGATCTAAGGAACTTGTCTTAGTAATATCCATGAGAATTCAAGACTTTGTATAGTTTGGTGTTGAGACAATTTTGATCAAAATACATTTCCATAGTCTCATATGTTTGTTATAGTATCTGTATCTGCATATTGGTTTTAGATGCTGCTAGCTTTTCGAAATCATCTACGTTCTCTTATGACATTCCTATCTTGAACTACATTGAGAAGGTACCATGCTCGATGTGCAAAGAAACCATAGACCGTGAGGTTTTTAATAGTCACACAGAAGAAATCTGCCCCAAGAGGATGGTAACGTGTGAGTTCTGTGATTTTCCACTGCCTGCAGTTGATCTTGCCGAGCATCAGGTAACTTTTCACACATTCCACCCATTTTCTCTCCGTTGAAGAGCTTATCTGATTCGCTCGGGTTTTATAAAAATCAGGAAGTATGTGGCAACCGCACGGAACTCTGTTATCAATGCAACAGCTATGTTAGATTGCGAGAAACATATGCCCATCAAACCAAATGCCCTGGTTCTGTGCTCAACAATGTTGAATCATCCAGGTACATTTACTTTTTGAAACTCTGATTCAAAAGGCTTAATCTTTTTCTTAAACTCATGTCGTGGAATGGATTCTAATGTGTAGAAGGATCCCAAGAGCAGCAGAAGGAGATGGAAACGGCAGGAGGAGAAGAGGTGGCAACGGTGTATCTAACAAAAGACTGTTCTTCACGATAGCAATAACTGGAATAGCTGTCTTAATAGGATCGCTGTTCTTCCAGAGGAAATCTGAGGGGAGCTAAGCAGAGAGAGAGAGACATAGCTCGTGTGTAGTTCTGTAAATTTGCTCAAACTCTCTTCAGACAGATTCGAGAGAAGAGTTTTTATACATTTTAATGCTTACTGAGACAGAGATGTTCTTCCCAAAAGATTGTTTAAGCTGATCTCCATGAGACTTTCTTTTGCATTTGGTTTCAATAAAAGAGTTTTGAGGAACAAACATGAACTCATTCTGCAATATGAGTAACTGTTTTGGTTTCTCTGAAATCCGGTTCATGTCCGGTCTGGAGAAATTGAACCGAAACTATAACTGAAATTAATATTGTAGTTGAAATTCCGTAAAATCGGAACTGATATACTCACGCGTTGTAACTAAAACGCCGACGCAACTGAAACAAAAGACAGATGCGCTTTGATCAAACACAGAAGCAGTCTCTGTACGTCTACACTTGTGAGCGATAGGCTTCGGTAGTGAACGCTTGCGCCAAGTAGTGATGAAGAAACTGGCTGATCGGCTCTTGCATCGTTTCACCAACCATGAAACCGCTTCAAACGCCAATCACCACTGTATTGCTCTCTCTCTTCCCTTCTCTCCTAATGGCTTCTTGATCCTCTGTTTTAACCTTGCTTACAAAATGAACTGTTTTTTTTTTTTTTTTGTAAACTCTGTTCAACGAAATTACGACAGAAAAGTTTGTATTTTTAGCCTAGATGAAGAAACTTTTTGTCTGCTTTCTCGTTGTTTTGTCCCTTTACTTTGTTCCTAATGACACTCTAAACTGTTTTTCTTTCTCCTTCAAATTGGATTCGTTTCTTTTTAGAAAGGTTTCCTCTTTAGTGGGTATGCGTATGAATCCAGAAAGGCAGAGACTTTAAACGATCAGAGAGTTAGAATTTATTGATAACAATATCTGGTATAACATATTGCTAGATTATCGGCGATATACGCCTTTACAGCTTTTTTCGTAAAAGACCAGTTCTAAAGATCCTATATCTATGGCCGCTACAAAAGCCTTATTTTAGACCAAAACACTTTTCTTCTTTGATCATTATATGTTGCTGCCTTCTGCCCTGTAAAGAGGAATGCTCATGTTCGTGTAATTAAGTGTTAAGCTTTTTGTTCTTACATTAATACTAGGCTCAACAGGGACAGGTGAAGGCACAAGTAGTCTTAGACATAGACAGGATCATCGCAGGATGCCTCCTCAAGGTGTCCGGCTTCATATCAGTGATCGTTATGTAATGCAACTTTCTCAGTCTGTAAATGTTTCCTTTTATCTTAGCTTTTATTAAATGTGTATAAACTGAAGACATACACATGTTTCAGGTTGTCATGGACAATGGAATCCTCCAGGTTACACTTTCGAAACCAGGTGGTATCATCACCGGGATAAAGTATAACGGTATTGACAATGTGCTCGAAGTTCGTAACAAGGAGACCAATAGAGGGTATGTATGACTCATGTTTGATAGGTTATACTCTTCTATGGAGAACTCAAGTCTATCTGAATGTATAGGTACTGGGATCTGCACTGGAATGAACCTGGAGGCAAGGGAATATTTGATGTGTATGTCCTCTATCTATTCACCTTAACATTCTTTAGCCTTAGAAGCACAGTAACCTTATCCTGTTCGTCTTCATCGTGCTGTTGATCGCAACATATGTTTGTGAGATTCTCCGATGTGAGAGCTAATTTGATTTATAAATCAGAACTACTTTTATTTCTAAGTTGTCGCTGCATTAATTTGAAAAATTACAAGTTTAACAAAAGAATGGTATCTAATGTGTTTGGTGGATCGTTTGATTGTATTTTACTATTTATACAGCATCAGTGGAGAAACATTCAGGGTGATAGTTGAGACTGAAGAACAGGTTGAGATATCATTTGTAAGAACATGGAATCCATCCCTTGAGGGAAAGTACATTCCCCTGAATATCGATAAAAGGTCTATCTTCTTGCATTATGTATTTCCCTTTGACGAGGAACACAAGTATAGTAGAGAAGAGACGTTATTGACATGATGCTCTTGCTTTCAGGTTTATAATGCTCCGTGGCTCTTCTGGAGTTTACTCATACGGCATTTATGAACACCTTAAAGAGTGGCCTGGGTTTGAACTTGGGGAAACAAGAATCGCCTTCAAGCTCAGAAAAGACAAGTAAAAAATTTCCCCATTTTTCTTATGTAAAGTGTAGTGACCTTGAGATCCATGTTTGTGCACTAAGAAGAAAAGTCTCAAATGTTAGTGCTGCGCGTCCAAGCAGAAGGATATAGTCATGTGTCTCATATGAGTTTAATAAACAGATTCCATTACATGGCGGTGGCAGATGACAGAAAAAGGATAATGCCTTTTCCAGATGATCTATGCAAAGGAAGATGCCAAACTCTAGATTACCAGGAAGCTTCCCTGCTCACTGCTCCGTGTGATCCACACCTGCAAGGCGAAGTATGAGTTCCCTAACATTTGTGCCAACTATTTAGTAGTTAGAAGTAAATTTTTGTATCATCCCCATGAATTGTTTGAACTGTTTAGTCTCCTTTCTACTAAAACATGAATCCGTATACTGTGAATTTATGCTTATTTTGTGACATCATTTTTATTCTCTCTTACAGGTAGATGACAAGTACCAATACTCGTGTGAGAATAAGGATCTGAGAGTGCATGGATGGATATCCTTCGACCCGCCTGTAGGATTCTGGCAAATTACTCCCAGTAATGAGTTCCGATCAGGCGGGCCACTCAAACAAAACCTTACCTCACATGTTGGCCCAACCACCCTTGCAGTAAGTGTCCCTGTGAGCAATGTGGTGACTGTTTCAATGTTTCTAGTCAGAATTAACACAATCTTGGTGTTGGCTTTCATTGTGATTGTGAATATATCAGGTGTTTCACAGTACACATTATGCGGGGAAAACCATGATGCCTCGCTTTGAATGTGGTGAGCCTTGGAAGAAAGTCTATGGCCCTGTTTTCATTTACTTAAACTCCACAGCTATTAGAGATGATTCACTCTTCTTATGGGATGATGCCAAGATAAAGGTCTGCGTTGTTGAATACAAAAATAGATTTGTTATAGTGAATGTTTAATTTTAATGAGTTAAATCTGCAGATGATGGCTGAGGTTGAAAGTTGGCCTTATAGCTTTGTGGCATCTGAGGACTATCCAAAGTCTGAAGAACGTGGTACTGCCCATGGTAGATTACTTGTTTGCGATAGGTATTAGATTACTTCCTTTATTTTGCATTGTTACTTTTATTTCTTTCTTATCGGTTTAACATTCCACTTAATCGCCACACATTAATGTTGATTGCTGTATAGGTTCGTAAGCAATGATTTGATGTCAGCAGTAGGTGCTTATGTGGGTTTGGCTCCACCTGGTGATGCTGGTTCTTGGCAAATAGAATGCAAGGTGGTCTCCTTCCCTCAAACATTCTCAGTTATCTGCAACCAGCAAAATAAAAGAGAGATCGGTCTGATACATTTTGGATTCTTTAACTTTAATGTCTTACCAGGGATACCAATTTTGGGCGATAACAGATGAGGCTGGCTTCTTTTCCATAGAAAATGTGCGTCCTGGCGAGTACAATCTCTACGCATGGGTCCCTGGCTTCATTGGAGATTATCATAACAACTCTGTTGTTTCTGTGGCTTCAGGTAAATTAGTTCTATCAAATATTATCATCTCTTATATATCAGCCAAGTCTTGATGGATATAACAACACAGGGTGCAAGATTGAAATGGGTGATATCGTCTATGAACCTCCAAGAGATGGACCTACCTTATGGGAAATAGGCATTCCTGACAGAAAAGCTTCTGAGTTCTTTATCCCAGATCCTGATCCCACACTTGTAAACAGAGTTTTAGTCCATCCTCAAGACAGGTTTTATGAGTTACACTTTTGTGAACCTTACTGCTTGAATGCGAAATTAGGCAAACTAAGAACCGCTTTGGTTTGATTTTACCAGGTTCAGGCAATATGGTTTGTGGAAGAGATACACTGATTTGTATCCAAATGATGACCTTGTTTACACGATTGGTGTAAGTGATTATCGCAGAGACTGGTTCTTTGCTCAAGTTCCTAGGAAGAAAGGAGATGTGCATGAAGGAACAACTTGGCAGATTAGGTTTAAACTCGAAAACATTGATCAAAAGGCGAATTACAAACTGCGAGTTGCCATAGCATCTGCAACCTTAGCGGAGTTGCAGGTAAGAATGAAAATTCACATGTCTACTGAGATAAACAAGTTGTTTATTAAAGATTTGTTCTATCTGCAGGTTAGAGTCAATGATGCTGAAGCAACACGTCCTCTGTTCACAACCGGACTTATAGGGAGAGACAACTCGATTGCAAGGCACGGAATCCACGGGGTTTACATGCTGTACACGGTGAACATACCGGGAAACCGGTTTGTGCAGGGGGATAACACAATATTCCTGAAACAGCCAAGATGCAATGGTCCCTTTCAAGGGATTATGTATGACTACATTCGTCTTGAAGGCGCTCCTTAAACAGTATGTGTAAATCGAAATGCATTTGAATATATATAAATAAAACCAATAGATAGTGGTAACAGCTGTTTCATATTTGATATGCAAACTCCAAAACCAAACCAACATCCTGACAATCAAAACTGAACCCTAAGACATAACAATATAGAAAGGAACATAAGCGATTGAACTACTTACTTACTGCTACATTTCCCTGCAACTTGCTCAGCTGAGCTTCTCTTCACCAGTCCCTTGTTACAAAGCTCATTGAGCAGCTCCAGAGCTTCCTTTGCCATACCTTCATAAGCTATACCTTCTATCAGAATCGTGTACGATGTTTCAGTCGGTTTACACCCTCTGTTGATCATATAAACCAAGAAATCAATGGCACGGTCCGTCTGCCTAGTCTTGCAGAGTCCCAGCATTATAGAGTTAAACGTAACCGCGTTTGGCCTAACCCCCATTCTCTCAAACTCATGGAAAAACTTAATAGCTTCATCTACTTTCCCTTCCCTGCTCAAACCTCCAACAAGAGATGAATAGGTGATAGTATCAGGCCTTAGATCTTTTGCACGCATCTCGTCTAGCAGCTTTATCGCCTTCCCTGTCTTCCCAGCTTTCGCAAGCCCATCAATAACAGTATTATAAGTGATTAGCACAGGTGAACATCCCTTGCTACTAAGCTGGTTAAGTATCTCAACCGCATCGTCAACTTTCCCATCTTTACACAAAGCTGTTAACATAGTGTTGTAAGTCACAATGTCAGGGTAACAGCCACGAGAGACCATCCTCTCCAGATACTCAACAGCTCTGTCCATCTTCTTCTCCTTGCAAAACCCATGAAGCAAAGGATTGTAACTCAAAGAGTTAGGCTGACACCCATGTTTAGGCATCTTCTCCAAAACATCAATAGCTCTCCCAAGCAAACCTTTTCTACACAAGAAGTTAATCAAAATATTGAAAGTGACAACACTCGGTGAAAAGCCTTTACGCAGCATATCAGCAAGAAGCTTCTCCGCATCCATCCATCTCCCCGTGCTACACATACTCCTCAGAATAATATTATGCGTAATCACATTAGGCTGACATCCATAAGAAGGCATGTCATTCAAGAACTTAATCGCTTCATCCAACCTCCCTTCTTTACATATCCCATTCACAAGAACATTATAAGTCACAACATCAGGAGTACACCCTCTCTCCCTCATCTCATCCACAAGCTTCATCGCCTCACCAACACCACTCTCTTTACAAGTAGCTTCAATCAATATCGTATAAGTAATCACATCAGGATAACAATCCCTCTTAAGCTGCCTATCAAGAACCTCCATGGCTTGCTTAAGCTTCCCACTATCGCAAAGAGAACGTAATATAGTATTGTAAGTAACAACATCAGGAGAAACACTCATCCTATCGAGAACACTCAAAGCGTTACTAATCTCCCCTGCTTTACAGTATCCACTAATCATCACATTATAAGTTATAACATCGGGGACAGCTCCAGAGCCTTCAAGAATCTCCAAGATCTTCGCAGCTCTCTTCGTCTTCCCCATCCTACAGAACCCACGAATCAAAGTCGTGCAAGGGATGATGTCGGGGACGTTCCCGTGGTAAACCATGTTCTCTAAGAACTTAAACCCTTCCTCGAGTTCACCGGTTCTAACTAGCTGACGTAAATGGTTGTTACTCTCGACATCTTCCAAGGCGAAAGATGAGTGGGCAGAGCTGTAATGACCGTTACCGTTACTGTTGTTAACCCCAGAGGATAAAGTTTCGAACTTTTGAGCTCTACCGTTGAGACCAGAGCTCTCTACTTTAGAGGAAGCGAAGGTGAGAACAAGTTGGTTCCTTTTTCGTGACCCAAGAGAGATTCTAGACTTAACATCAAGCTTACTACTTGGCTTAGACTCGCGGTGAAACTGTTGAATCAAGCTAAACCCTTCTTGTGCAGTGCTTGTGGACACCATAAAATCCATGGAGATTAACAGTATAGCAAGTTCAGAACATAGATAAAGAAACTAACTTTAGTACTACTCTCTGAGATAAGGTTTAGGGACAGTGGGAATGGGGAAGAAGAAAGAACAGAGGAGGCGGGTTTGGTTGAGTGAAACCGAAAGGATATGGCAATGCTCTGTTTTTTTGGACTTTTGTGAATTTGGGCCTCATAGAGTTGGGCTTGGGCCTAGATTTTTGTGTCTGGTATGGCTGGGCATTTTACCCGCTACCTGAATCCGAACCCGAACCCGATAACAAAAATTCGAACCGAAACCGAACCGAAGTAGTAAAATACCCGAACGGGTATTGAATTAAGAGAGATTGGATATCCGAATCCGAATGGGTAATACCAGAATCTGAATGGATATCCGAAAATAACCTAAGATATGTATATCTCTATAATATTATTTGAGAAGTCAATTTCCTAGGTGTCGCGCTCACGTTAACTCTCACGCTGGTTGATTACTATGATACCCCTAATGAATTAAAAATATATTTAAATATTATTATTTCCTTTTTAAAATCTTCCAAATAACAATATAAAATAAAAATGAAATATTTATAAAATTTACAAAACTTGTAAAACGAAAAAATAAATATATATATATATAATACGGTTTCATAAAAAAGGAAAGTTTACAAAATCGTAATATTTAACTTAAATATATTTTTAAATAACAAAAATTATACTTTTAAGTAATAAAATACTTTATATCTATATCTTCTTAGATGAAAAAAAACATTTGTATATAATGTGTTTTCATAAAAAAGTTCATACGAATAGTCTTGATATTAGAAAAAGAAATATTTTTTCTTTTAAAAAATAATTTAAACAATAAAAAATATATTTTCAAAGTAATTATTTTTTGATATATCTATCTATTTTATTAGATGATTACATAAAATAATTAAGTAACATAAACTGATATATGTTTAATTGACAAAAAAAATTTATAATAATTAGTATTATTGAAATAGTTTTTTAGTATATTTATTTGATTGTAATATCTTACAATTACAGCAAAAATATAAATTATATTATACTTATATATAATTTCTCAAAAACAATCACATTTCTACTGCATATTTTAATAGATGTTAAAAAAACTAAAAATAAATTTAATAAGAAACATCTTTTGATCAAATAACTACAATTCTTTTAAAATATCATAACACTATAATTTAACGAGGTAGATATATTATATTTTAATAGTTAAAATTATATGTTTTCTTAATAACTCTTTTGATGTTTAATTTTCTGTTGTTATGTTTGTGGAATTTAATATAACCATAATCAAATACTTAAGCAAATCAGAATTCCTTATTTTTAAAATTATTTAAAATTTATAAAATATTTTAATTATTGTAAATATTGATATGTGTTCATAAGCTTTCAAAATTTTATTATTACTTATTAAATTTAGAATCATACACTTTAGTTTTTACTTTTTTCGTTCTAAGCACAAAAAACCTTAAAATACATAATCTTACTAAGATATACTTATATTTCATAGATAACAACCAACATAAATGTAAATAAAATAATTAATCAAAAAATTAAGATATTTAGAATAAAAAAAAGATTATAGTTGAATTCATAGAAATAGATAGAATCCAATATATATATATATATATATATATATATATATATATATATCTAAATGATAAAACTGACTAAATATAATATATCTAAAATTATATATAACTAAAATAATATAATATTATTAATACAAATTATACATACAAACTATAAATTGATATAAAGTTTAAAGTAAATATCAATCAACTATTATAATATATTTACTTCTTAAATATTTATGTCCGTGCATGAGCACGGGAAAATCACCTAGTTTAACCTTATATTTCTAGTTTACTTCTCTTATTTTACCCAAAATATTTATATTGATATTGTACATGGTTCAAAATCATATAATATACATATTATTGTGGACAAATTAAATTTTTATTCAATTAAAATGCACATCAAACTTTTTTATTTCATACATTAACAAAAGTTGCATTCAAATTTTCAAACCATTAATGCAATTAAATTAGTATTTTTTTCAATTCTAAGAATTTTTTTCTCCAAACTTGTTAATCATTTAACCTATTAAAAATTCAAAAAGTCAGTTTTGTAAAAAAAATATTGAGTAATGAAAAATTTGATTTTTTTTTTGAAACTCTAAATATCCGAACCCGATCCGAAATAACCGAACCTGAACCAAAAATACCCAAACCTGACCGGATGTATAAAAATACCCGAACAGATTCTAGACCTTTATACCGAAATACTCAAAAATCCGAATCAAACCCGAACGGGTATCCGAATGCCCACCCTGCTGGTTAGTGTGAAGGTTGACCTTTTAAGGGGAAAGGAAAAAGTTTACCTAACCTAAATGAAGGACATAAATGTGGTATTGAGACGTAAAAGTGAAAGTTTTGAGAGACACACGACACGAATGTCACTATGATGATGGTTGCGGCTCTTTGAAGCATTTAAGTTGCAAACTAACCAAACTGTTTTGACGACGAAGTCAAGAGATCCTTTCCACTATACCCAATTTGCTTTATCTCACGTTTAAGGCAACATTAAATTCTGATCCATATATAAGTGTGCAACATATACGTATAGGAAAGCCATGTACATGTACTTTTAGCTTCATACTAAACCGGAGAAAGACATTTTGACAATGTCTTCTGTTAAACTGCAGTTGCAAGATAAGGGCAATCATGTATGTTTACTTCAACTCGTCTCATGATCTGTAATTATTAAGAAGTCTGAAACATTTTGATGAAAGTTTCTACTTTTTTTGGTGTATTAATGGCTATCAGGTGGTGATGGATAATGGCATTGCACGTGTTACATTATCAAAGCCTGATGGTATTGTTACAGGTATCGAGTATAATGGCATTGATAACTTGCTCGAGGTTCTTAATGAAGAATCCAACAGAGGGTAATGTGCTATAATATATGATTCTTCTTTGTTTGTTTGTTATAAATGTTATAAAACTCTTCAGGTATTGGGACCTAGTTTGGGGTGGACCAGGAACCGCTGGTGCATTTGATGTGTAAGTCTTCTTCATAAGCTTATAAAATTGAAGTTCTAAGAATTTCAAAGCAACCGTTGCTTAATGACACTACTATTTTCCTTTTTTGTAACAGAATAAAAGGAACAAAGTTTGAGGTAATAATGGAAACCGAAGAACAGATTGAGATTTCTTTCACAAGAAAATGGGATCCATCACAAGAAGGCAAAGCTGTCCCTTTGAACATTGACAAAAGGTCCTTACTGTCTTTGACATGCATGAACTTTCATATTACACTTTTTTCAGATTATGACATGAAAACATTGTTGAAACAGATTTGTTATGCTTCGTGGGTCGTCAGGATTCTACACTTACGCCATCTACGAGCATTTGAAAGAGTGGCCTGCTTTCTCAATAGCTGAAACTCGAATTGCATTCAAGCTCAGAAAGGAGAAGTAAACTAAAAGAATCACTCCTTCACTTACTAAACATATCTTTGACCATTTACTTTTTAATTAATATTAGCTGATAATGTAGGTTTCATTATATGGCAATAACCGATGATAGGCAGAGGTTCATGCCATTACCTGATGACCGGTTACCGGATAGAGGCCAAGCTTTGGCTTACCCTGAAGCTGTTTTACTTGTTAACCCTCTTGAGCCTCAATTTAAAGGAGAGGTAAAGTACTAACTGAGAGAGAGGTTAACTTCTTTCTTGTATATAAGAAGTGGTTTTTACTGGTTCTTTCTTTGGGGTTTTAGGTTGATGATAAGTACCAGTATTCATGTGAAAACAAAGACATTACTGTACATGGATGGATATGCACTGAGCAACCATCAGTTGGTTTCTGGCTCATAACTCCTAGCCTTGAGTACCGAACTGGTGGACCTCAAAAACAGAACTTGACATCTCATGTTGGACCTACTTCTCTTGCTGTAAGAATACACATCTCTCTTCTCTAACGATTTATTTCTCTAGAATTTTTATAAATGTCGTGTAACCTGAAGTGGGATCCTTCAGGTGTTTATGAGTGCACACTATACAGGGGAAGATTTAGTGCCAAAGTTTAGTGAAGGAGAGGCATGGAAGAAGGTGTTTGGACCTGTCTTTGTCTATTTAAACTCATCTACTGATGATGATAATGACCCTCTTTGGCTCTGGCAAGATGCTAAATCTCAGGTACTTCTTTATATACATAGCTAGGAGAACAAATCAAATATTATATCTTCATTTCAAGTTATTAATTTTTTTTCTTGGTCAAATATTTCAAGTTATCAATAAATTTGTATTTTTTAGATGAATGTGGAAGTGGAAAGCTGGCCTTACAGTTTTCCAGCTTCTGATGATTATGTGAAAGCTGAGCAACGTGGTAATGTTGTTGGCAGACTTCTAGTTCAAGATAGGTAAACAAACTAAAATAGAGAGCCACATTTTGTTTTCTTGGATTTGCATTTGCTTTTACCTTCAAAAACTTAAATTCTTGTTTAAGACAAGACAAGTACAAGTATCTAATCATCTACAAAAAAAAAATTTAAATGCTTTGAAGGTATGTAGATAAAGATTTCATAGCAGCAAATAGAGGTTATGTTGGCTTGGCTCTGCCTGGAGCTGCTGGTTCATGGCAAAGAGAATGCAAGGTGAACTTTAAAATTTTAAGATTTAGTATTTGACTTATAAGAGAAAATAATGAAAATATTTAATATATGTAGTTCTATGCACATATAATTTAATTCTTGCAGGATTATCAGTTCTGGACAAGAACAGATGAAGAAGGATTCTTTTACATAAATGGAGTACGACCAGGGCAGTACAATCTCTATGCATGGATTCCTGGTTTTATTGGCGACTATAAATATGATGATATTATCACAATCACTCCAGGTCCTCATTTTCTTTCTTGCTTTCTATTAACTCGCCAAAACATTTGTTGTTACGATTAAACCTAGTGTAATTAGTATAATTCATTATGTGCAGGCTGTTACATGTACATGGAAGATCTTGTATATCAGCCTCCAAGAAATGGAGCAACCTTGTG